AGTTAAGACAGCGGAATTGAGATGCAATTCAGCTCTTGATAAGAATTGTTCTCCGCAATGGAAATGCAGTTTAGCGAACTTTCCAATGTGTAGTGCGAAATATTATTATATATATTATATTAATTAATTGCAAACCCAAAACGAGCTAGTTAGCATACATAACATACATAATTATGATAAATCTTTCAAATTATATTATAGTAGAATATATAAAGTTTACCGATGTACAAATAATTAAAGTCAAGTAATACTATGTATATGCATAATGTATAAATTACGTTTGGTCATTTACCTACTGTAATCAATGTTACTAATGTATAATGATTGTGAATAACTTAATAATTTTGAAGTTACATTACCGAAAAGAATATTTGTTTCGGAAAAAATTATAGAATGCAAGTTTGTCCTAATCTCTCTCATTGGGACAATATTGCAAAGTTAAAATTACATCTGAAAATTAGCTTTTCAGTTGTAAATGAAAATTGTGAATTATTCAATTAAAATTTTATACCAACATTTGAAATTCGCAAACCCTATGATCAGAATAATGGAAGGGGTCCGCGGTAAAAGGGTCTAAGTACGTTTGTAATTGTTATGAGATAATCAGCAAAAATGTTTCTTTATGTCTATTTAAATTTTAATAAATACGAAAAATGTTAATATTCAAGGTAAGCAAATGATTATAAGAGTACTGTGACATGATTTGCCTCGAAAGAAGGCGATCTGACAACTTTTATTAAGACAAAATGTCTGGTTCCTCTGCAATGCATTGTCAAAATTATCCAAAAAACATGTTTTCAGAATTTGTTCGTATGTAACACTTATATTTTCATAAAGCAACCGAGTTCATCCACTTTGAGCAAGTGATGAATTATTGAAAAACTTGGTACAAAAACGTCCAGAACTTTTTATTTGGCGGATGGAATCAGCTCATTTAATCGTGTTGATGGACTAGTTCCTTTTTTACATGTTTATGCTCTTTATAAAATCTTGTAGCATTCACAATTTTTTTGCCCAAAAAATATATTTCTGTTTTCTTACTATTTAGAAATCTCAGACATTAACTTCAAATATAGTAAGCTGTACAGTTCTTTTACATTAATTTAATTGGCAAGTGTTTTGTAATATTTAACTGACCAACATGGTCTTAATATGTTATATGTATAAATATGTTACGGATGCATGGGACACAGGCTTTAGGCTCGGTTGTCCTTTGGAAGTGTTTTCGGTCGAGTTGCGTTCCTCACAAATCGGAATAAAAGAACCCAGCTTTTCGCCTGAGCGCAGTACCTTTTTCAAAATATGAAAGAAATCCACAGCAAGTTTTATTAAAAATCATCCCAGCACTTTCCCGATGTTTAAAATTCTTAATTGGTAGAATACCAGACATGATAATTCCGCAAAAACCATGAATGCTCGAAAAAGGACTATTGCATCGAATCAAATAATAAATCAAAACTTAATAACTGACCTGAATTCGGCATTTTCTGTATTGAAGCATCCAGCATCTATTGCAAAAGCACACCTTGCTATAACATTAGTCGAAAATTTCGCACAAATTTCCTTGGATTCAATGCTAGGCATATTATCGAAATTGCTGATATAATCCACCATAAGATTACCTTCTCTTAAGATATGTGGAAACATTTGTTTTAATTTTCCGGTGGAAAAAACTGGAGTGAGTTTTGATCGTACTGCTTTCCACCGTGGATTTTTAGCCAGGAACATAAAGTTCGACATAATCGGATCGTGTTCGTAATGCGCCACTGACCTATTTTGAAAGTATTCAAAATCTTTTTGTAGTACCAGTTTTATCAGCTTTGGGGATTGAACCACCAAAACTGGTCGATCGAATACGAAAATTCCAAAGTAGTCCTTTTTGATTTTATGGCTTAAGTCACCCAACCATTCTCCTAGCGTTGTCTTCATTGTCAAGGCTGGCAGCATATTTCCGAACACTGGTATAGGTTTGACGTAAAATACATTTTTTGATTTCCAGTAGTTGAAATTTCTAGTTAAATATTTGTACAAGAGGGTAAATATTAACACCAGCAAAATGCTACCGATTATTAACACAGTAGCCATCTATAAATAGAAAAATATTAGAAATACTAAACATTCGTTGAAGGGACTGTTCATGGCGCATTGTACTTACTTGTTTTTTCAGCTATTATATTCGCAAAAATTAGCACAATTTTCGTAAACAATTAATTTATTGCTGGTTTATGCAAACTTAAAAATGTTTAGTTATACTCTTTTTCTAAAATCTAAATTCCAATTTTTATTTTTCAGTTTCATTTTAAAAACGCAAGAAGAGAGTTATTAATTATGCTGTAATTTTGATAATTGTCAAGATAAAATAAAGATTTAAAAAAGCAAATTCTAACCCAAAAGCGCAGTTTTACAAGAATTGGCTACATTTTGGTTTCAAGTGAACCTGTACAGAGTCTAATATCTATAAAATGATAAAAAATAAACACTTATTGCCCTTGGCCAAAGGGCAATAAAAGCCAAATAATTGAAATGCCAATTACAAGAACATGTATGAAAATCGGTTAATTAGCATAAAAGTTAGATGATCTTGGTAGTATTTTATGCATTTCTTTCAGCTGAAGTTAGTGGTTTCCTGTAAGTTTCCGAGACTCTCTGTCTCTTCTTCGTCTTCTATGCCAGCCTTATCCGGTTCACCCCTGGACATAAGCCTCTCCGAGTCTTCTGCATTCTTGTCGATTTTAAGCTAGTTTTGCCCAGTTTCTACCGGCGACCCCCTGATATCATCCAGCCATCGCTTTTGCGTATTCATGTACTTCTTGTTGTTTCTCTGGGACAACAGTGAATCACTCTGTTAGTCCATCTACTGTCGTCCTACTCATCTCCATTTCATGGAGCGGATTACGTCAGCCACCTTTGTTCGTCTTCTTATTTTCTCGTTTCTGATCCGGTCTCTTACGGAAACTCCAAGCATTAATCGTTCCATTGCCCTCTGTATTGTTCTCAATCGGTCTGCTGCTGTTCAACTGCCTTTTGCGATTGTCTTTGTTTCGAGGCCATACTTTGCTACAGGCAAAATGCACATGTCATAAACTCTGCGTTTTAAATGTATTGGAATGTCTGGGTTTTTTTGGAAAATTTAAATTTTCCAAAAGCAGCCCAGGTTAATTTCACACTTGCACTTGCATTATTTCCGACTTCTGATTCTCCTTTCCYAGCTTAATGAGGTGACCCAGGTATATGTAGTATGTGTCAACRATTCCAATGTTTCCGTTAAATAATGATAATYGAATGTGATTGGGTGATATAATCTTGATTTTATTGAGGTTCATTTTTAGCCCTATTTTTCTTGATGTTATATTKAATTGTTGTATATTTTCCTTTAATTYATCTGGATCTTCGGAGATGAGATCAATCTCCGAAGATCCAGAGTCCTGCTTATCCGAGATCCTATAGAACAGAAATTAATTTTRTCAATTAAAGWTAAGCTTCAAAAACGTTAGTTTGGAAAACTTCATATGAGGGGGCACATAATAGTGTTTAATAAAAAATGCATGTTTTATCATAATTATTTGCTGGTCAATATAGTTTATAGAATTCTCACTTAAAAATATAAATTAC